AACGAAATGAACCTTTTGTAAAGTTACATAATTTTGCCCCAATTTCCCCAAACAATCTATATAATTCCTCTGAAGTTCTCCTCGTGGAATACACTTCTGCAGTATACGTATAATTGGAGCGATTTCAGAACAACTTGGGAGACTGATTTAGTCGACTTGAAAGTGTGTTTGGTTAATGTCTGTGAAGATTCTCAGTCATCCAGGTCATGGTTCTTCTGGTAGAATAATCAAAGCTACTGGACTGGTTGAGTTCCTTGAAGACGTTCTCATCCAGGAGGCTTCATCAGCTCTGACTGACTAGTTGGGAGTTCCAGATACTGATATCCTTAAGGAGCCATTAACACCTGAGTTTCGGTTTCAGGTGGGGGTTGTTGGTCCTCCCCCTCGTTATGGGAGTCGTTAGTGCTCCCCCTCCCACAAAGGGGTTCGTTAGGGTCTCTTGTGGCTAGGTGTGAATTCATCTTCCGTGGGAGAGATCTTAGGACTGAACTGTAAACAGGTGAGAGGTGATGCCAGACCTCCACCTCTGCTGAGGGATGGTGTTTCCAGTTTGACATAGATGGCTTCTTTCAGCCCTCTCTCAAACCATCTGTCCTCCCTGGACAAAATCTGTACGTTGTCATCTTCAAATGATGTCGAAGACAACAACATACAGAGCCATCTATGTCAAACTGGAAAGACCATCCCTCGAGGTGGAGGTCTGAGGCATCATCTGTCACCTCTTTACTACTCATTCCTAAGATCTCTCCCCAGGAAGATGAAACCACATCCACACCTAGCCACAAGAGACCCTAACAAACCCCTTTGGTTCAGGGGGAGCACTAACGACTCACACAACGGCGGGAAGAGCAACAACCCCCAACTGAAACCTGCACTCAGGTGTTAATGGCTCCTTAGGTTACAAGTATCTGGAACTCCCAACTAGTCAGTCAGAGCTGATGAAGCCTCCTGGATGAGAGGTGAAACGTCTTCAAGGAACTCAAGCAGTTGCTACGATTAGTCTACGCCAATATTTTGTTAATGAGCTCTAAAATAAGGGACTCGCACATCGGGACTGGCGTTTTAAGAAGTTTTTATCCAAAGAAGCTGCGTTGAATGTGGAGAAATTACAATCCTGCTGAAGTGTGGATTCAGCTTCTGCGAGACAGAGAAATAAATTACAGACTTGTTCATGCAGGGAGCTAAAACAGACTTTTGTGGACATTTCAGGGGGGCTTCTCAGCCAACACACACCAACATGTTCTGTTGTCACATTACAAAGACAGTCTCTGCTTGTCCTTTTGCTGCTGCTGATGTTAGCTTCACCACGTCTTGGTGATTCTTAAGTGGCTCAGGTGGTCTGTCATGCGCTTGTGTTCGGGGAAATTGGCAAACTTGGCCTCCTTGATCTTGAGCCAGTCCTGGGCTCTGCGCTCCTTGACGTGGCCGTGCTCCTGCTCCGCGGTCATGTACGGCCGGCTGAGCCAGTATTCGTTCTCGGCCTCACGCTCCAGATTCTTCAACGTGTTGCGCTTCATCTGCCACGTAATCGGCCGCGGACGCCGATACTTTCCGATCCACTGCTTCCCAGGGATGCCTTTCCGCAGCAGGGTGAGGGTGAGAAACATGGTGGGAAGTTAAATCTGGAGAAGCAAAGAGAGGTCAAATTAGATTAGTGACTAATGTAATGATGATTCGTGCCAGAAATAGCTCTTCAGCGCAGGTACAGAGGGGTTTCAGAGAGAAGTCGTACAGTATGTGAGCTGTGCAAGCAGAAAAAAGAGGGAGGAAATCATCCAAAAAAAGAGCATAACAAGAGGAAAAGTTGTTTTTGTTGTCAGGAATTACAAAAATGTGGAAATCAATCTGATCAGAGCCATAATTTGCTTGTTGAAGGTGGCAGTGGGTGGTTTTTTAGTAAAACTGCAGCAGTCAACACCTGTTTTAATGTATGTTCATGGTTGTTTAAACCATTTCACTAACATTTATCACACTCTGCGGTTGATGTGTTTCCAGAGTTTCGCTTTGGGAATCACTGACAGCTTATACAAAAGCAGACTGAAAAAAAAAAGGTACACAATGCAAGGATGTGCGTAGTGCTCAGAATTCTCCTCTAAGCGGTGATTTCACAGGTTTCCTTCAAGCTGCTTTACTTCTAACTGTGAACATGACCATTTATAAGCTGGTTTGACATAGCAGAAGCTCGCTTTCTGCCCCCGGCTGTGCACACGTCCATCCCTTTTGGATTGTGTGTAAATGGGAAATCCCTCCATCACCACAGCAGCAGCACAGTGTACAGGCATTGTTCACAGCAGTGTTTCTGACGTACAGGAGGAAGAGCACAGGTGATAGCACCAATAACGGCTATGAGGCATTCAAATGTTCCAGTGAGCTGTGACAGAGAGACAAATGCACCAAACCAGTTGCTGAACTGGACCCCTGAAAGCAACTAAATGGAATTCAGCCATTGCTGGCTTTAAAATTTACACCAGTTTCTGTTGTGATGTTAAAAGTCCTGCACACACACACAAGTGTTTCATGCTAACTGGCTGATTGTAGCGTGATTTTATTTAAAGCTTGCAGAGTAACTTCTACCCTGATATTAAGCTGACTGGTCACTGACATGCCTCAAATTTTCATGGTGAAAGCTACGGTAATTTGGGGAGTATATTTCCCTTTATATGAGGCAGCAGTAGAGACAACAAAGATGCAAACAAGGATGAGCGTGGACTGAAAGGGCAAAAAAGACATGATTCTAACATCACACCAACAGTCTAAATGAGCTTGTTTTGCAGCATTATATATTTGTAGTTTCATATTTCATTAAAGTGTGAAAATAGATATAAAAACAGCCTAAAGCTTCAATATAATGAGCTGAAAGGATTGTATTAGTTTTAATATTTGGGTTTATTTTAATGCAACTGGCAGCAGTGGCGCATTTGCAGCCACTGTTTGTTTATGTGTGTAATTTTATTTTCCTACTTGAGAGACATACTTGCTTTAGTTTTTACAGTCAGGCATTCTTTCAATTGTTTTCTCGATAAATCAATTAGTTGTTTGGCAGCTGAATTGTCAGAAATTGGTGAAAAATGTCCATCAGTGTTCCTTAAAGGCCAAACATCTTGTTTTGGCCACAACCTAAAAATATTAAGTTTACAGTCATACAGAAGGTTAAAAAAAAAAAAAAAAGAAAATATTCACATATAACAAGCTGGAATGAGACTTTTTTTTTTTATACTATACACAAAAAACAGAATAAAGAATTGAAAAAAGAACAGAATAATTTTTTTGATGACTTGTTGCAGCCCAGTTCTCTACAGCTAAAATAACACCACATGAATACAACACTGAACAGAAAATAAAGCGAATTTGTTGCATTGATTTTGTGAGGAAAGGACCTGTCAGCCTCAGCCGCATTAAAACAAATCTCATCACCAAAATAGGAAATCCCATGTCAAATACTATCATACAGCCTCGACATCTCGTAAAACTTTATTTTACGTTTACAACAGCCAGAGAGGAATCTGACCCATTTATTGATCAGTGGGTCATCATACTACTTTACACGCTTTTGGTTCTGTTGAGGATATTGTGCAGGCAGCAAATTACTCAACGTACGTCAGGCAAAACACAAAAGAGACAATTACCTAAAAAGGAAGAAATGCATTTCCAACGAGTCTGCAGTTAATGGTTTACTAAATGCTGACCCATGGCACACTCATGACAAATTTACAGCAGTGGATAACAACGACGGCACACAAAAACACTTTAACTATCCAGAGTTTGCTGGGTTACAGTAGAAAAGGTCGACAGTGTGTAAAAAACAAACAAACAAACAAACAAAAAATGTGCACAACAAACCTGCAACACTCAGTATACAGCAGAAGTATACTGTTTTTGCATTGAGTTACTACTGTGGGGCCTATACATCACCTACAGTAAAGCTATACTCTTGGATTTTATTAGTTCATAAGAGCAAATATCCTACTGTTTAATCTAAATGCAATTAAAAGGTGACACAGTTTCGAATAACTTGACATATAAGTCTCGTCTTATCATGTAAAACACATTCACAACTACTAAACAGTCTGTAAAGCTATAAAATGAAAATAATCTTAACGAGCATACTGGATATAAAAGCAACCCCCGCTGCTTTGAGTGTAACTACGTTGTTTTAAATAAGGTGAAGAGAAAACACGCAAAGTACAAATACAAATTTAAGCAAAGTCTGCGTGCAGGAGGCTAATTCATAGCTGCTAACATTAGCCGCATGCAATGTGAGGCTAGCTTAGCCAAACGGTACACACCAAGGACAGCTTCAAAACAGGACTGTAAGAAGAGATAAAATGATGAGCCACATATTTACTCTTTGTCTCACCTTCCAAGTATGTTAACCACCGTTGTCTTTACCACGACAAGATGAAAACAAACCCAGAATTAGCTTAAAAACACAAAAAGCCAATCTGGTAGCTATGAGAGAAGCAGCTAGCTAAAAGGGTCATTAACTTCTTTTTTTTCCGGGGTAGCTACGGCGCCCGAGAAGGCTCAAACACATTTTAAAAAATGTTCGCATTCTAAAAAAAAAAAAAAATCCTAAACTGCCTTAGACAAACAATATTTTGTAAATATCTCGTTTGACAACAATTTATATTACGGCACATAATTTACTCCACATTTTATTGCCGTAGATTTGTTTACTGCTCTTTTATGAGGATGCGTTGCAAGAAAACAGGAAGTAGCGGTTTATTGCATATTTAGACATGTATCGTTAATTACAACAACAAATAGATTTAAATATTCTAATGCGAATATACATTTTCTAGTTTAAAAATCTGTTTATTTTCTAGATAATATGCTTGGTTGGTGGGAAAGGACACAGAGGTGATGTTGTTATCGGGTGATGTCATGCGAAAGTGTTTTTTTGTTTTTTTTCTTTTTTCCTTTTTCCTGATTCGGTTGTTGCGTAAATCGACACAAATGCAGTAAAAATAGGAAGGAAAAAGAGAAAAAAAAACACATGATGTAAAAAATGACCAGCCTCCTCTGACATACATTTAAGAGCCCTGCTGGTGGTGCACTTCAGTGTTTCTCCAGTGTTTGTTGTCCGGCTCTGTCGCAGCAAAGCCAAGATGTTTTTCGACTTGTTTTCAGCAACAACATGGACTTTACTGGCTCTCTTTTTCGCCCTGTTTTTCCTGTGAGTATCTGATTTTGTAAACTTTAAATCTTGGGGTTTGACTTTGGTCTTTTTACTGCCCAACACTAATAACAACCTGATCTCTAACTCTCTCTCTCTCTCTCTCTCTCTCTCTCTCTCTCTCTCTCTTGCAATGCAGGTATGGAATTTGGCCATACAGGTTTTTCTCAAAGCTGGGGATTGAAGGACCAAGACCTCTGCCATTTATTGGAACAATGCACCACGTTGCAAAGGTAAGCCAGCGCCAACAAACCTTGGAGCCTGGTGTATGAACAGGTGACTGGTGATTACTGAGAGTAAAGAGGTGTCAGTAACCTGCCTGGCTTATCTGTGCACCTTGACTCTTACTGTTCTGTGGCCGTTCAGCCTTTAAAACATATTTCTTGTAGGGATTTCTTGGATTTGACCGCGACTGCCAGGCCAAGTATGGAGACGTCTGGGGGTGAGTAAAACAGTGGGAAAGTATTTATTCTGCAGATGATTAGATTGCAAATGTGTAAGCAGGATTTTACTGTTTTAGCTCACCGTGTTGGAGGTTATTTAAATTTGTACTTGCATATTAAGTGCTTGCTCAAAGGGAATCATTAGATTTCTCTCTATACCAGAATACTGTAAGGTCTTGTTGCTTTGCTGCTTTCCACGACTGCAGGGTATAATGAACTCATAATGATAAGCAGGAGGATAGGTTGGGTCATTTTACTGCCTGCGTATGTCAATAAATGACTCCAGGGACCCAGAGCAAATATTTGTATGTAATATTGCAAATGTAAAACTGGTGTATTGTAGGCAGCTCAAACTATATACCTTGATGTTGTGCTTTTGCAGGTTGTATGAAGGACGGACGCCGTTGTTAATGGTGGCAGACCTTGAGATTATTAAAAGTGTGATGGTGAAGGAATGCTACACCGCCTTCACCAACCGCAGGGTAAGAGACGCCCCTTATTAGACACCAGAATCAGTGGAAATTCAGCGTTCTAGCAAGTAATTCAGTAGACTCAGTTACTCAAATTACATGCATGGTGGCAAGACAAAAATTTACTGATTCAGATGAACCTTTAAGCATTGTTTAATGAGTTGTGTTAACATAAGAATATTAGTAATAATTACGCCCACATTTCTGTGTTAATTGATTTAAAATAAAATTCAAGTTGTCCTGAACTCAAAGCGAAGGGGGAAAAAAAGCCAATTTCATTAAGTTACATCAACTTAAATTTAGTGTTAAATCAACTAATTCGCAAGCTTGAGTTTAAATTATACATAAAAATAAGATGATGCAATTATCAACATTACCATGTCAGTTCAACTCGTCAAAATTATGTTCGCAACTTCAAAGGTTTATCAAACCAATCATCAAACTGGATTTGTTTGACTTGTAATTGACTAATAATTAAGTGGTGACAATATGTTCCTTCATTTATTTTTCAAAGTGAAAGGAATTTTATCCAAAAGAGATATTTCTGAATATTCTATGGACTGACTAAGCTGTGCAATCAAACTGCATAATAAAAAACTATCAATAAAATAAATATAGCCAAGCTAAGTAGTTCAGCTAATGTTTATTTATTATTATTTATTTATGTTTATTTGTTATCACATTGGAAATGTTGCCCTCATTTGATTGGAGTGTAATAATTTGTGACAGTCACCTGTGAGATGACGCCAAAGGTGAAAGTGTTGAAAGAAGTAACGTTATTTCAGCAGATTTCAGTGATTGCACTGGTTGAAATGGGCAAATATTGGAGGACGAAAATTGTGTGATGTGTCTGCAAGGATCTAAACGTTCAGTGTTGTTTCCTCTGATCACAGGACAGTCCTTTAATGAACGGGCCGATGGATGACGCAGTTACAGTAGTGAAAGACGAAAGGTGGAAACGACTTCGGAGCACAATATCTCCATGCTTCACCAGTGGGAGACTCAAACAGGTTGGTGTCATGAACAGCTTCTGACTCCATCACCTGCAATCTGCAATCATGAGAAAAAGCAAGAAAGGAAACTTAACTCATTTTCCTTTTCTGTCCACTCTGTTGAAGGCTTATCCTCTTGTAGCTCGCTATGCAGACCGACTTGTTGAAAAACTTGGACGCACAAATTTGGATGAGGCCGTCGATGTCAAAAAGTATGTTGTTGGTCTGTCTTTAACAGCATATTGTTGCATTGAGCGCCCTGAAATACGTACATGTTGTTGCTCTTAATCCAAACCCATCTCTCTTTTCCACATCCTATAGACTTATGGCTCCTTACAGCTTAGACGTGGTGACCAGTGCATCTTTCAGTGTGGAGACAGACTCCATCAACAACCCAGACGACCCCGTCAATGTTCATATGCAGAAGAATCTAAACTTCAAATTATGGCCCTTTTTTTTTCTAAGTACGTCCTCCTTTTGTCTGTTACAGACACAGATCATTTGATCACATGGTGTCGGTAACATGCAAATATTAGTTCACAACTATTTGTTCTTCTTTCAGTGGTGTTTCCGTTTGCTGCTCGTCTGCTGGATCTTCTAAAGGTTGAGATAATGCCCAAAGCCAGTGTAGATTTTTTCTACAACCTCATCAAGAAGTTCAAAGATGAGCATAAGACAGATGAATCTGTAAGCACGCTTTTCTCTTTTTTGCACGAAATAAAAGAGAAGATTGATACCACTGTTCTATCTCTATGTGGAATGTAAAGCTGGGGACGCAGCTTTGAGAAAACTAAATTGGACATCCAAGCGCACGGCTTGATCAGGAATGGTGTGATATGACTTTGATAGCGATTCATTGTACGCTTTATTTTTTTTTTTACAAATATACGTCCCAACTTCTAGCGTTTTTTTTTCTCTCTTTCAAATAACATTGCAGACATTTTAAGTGAATCTGCAAACTGATGCAGTTTGTGTGAAAGTTAAATGTTCTCTGTGCCGATCCAGACTCGAGGAGACTTTCTGCAGGTGATGATTCAGAACGAGATACCAGAGTCGGACGTAAAGAACGAACACGAACAGCCCAGTAAAGGTATGTTTACATTCAACAACAGTACCAAATAAATGCACGGACAGTTAGAATCAAAAAAAGATTCTCGGTGCATCGTGGGACATCTCCCAGCAGCATAGCTGAGAGATAAAAGTTTTATCAAAAAGGAAAGTTTTAAGCATAATTTTCAAAGTAGAGAGGGTGTCTGTCATTGGTCATTGTGGGATCTGTTGCAGTCTGATTCTGGATGTTACAGGGAGCCAGTGAAGGGAAGCCAACACAGAAGAAATACAATCACAACTCTATCCGTATTCTCGCTGCAACATTTCAGTTCAGTTGAAGGTTTTTCATTGAGTTTTCAGGACATCCTGCTAATAAAGAACTGGTGGGCACTAGTTTTTTAGTATTTATATCAGATAAACAATCTGAAGACATCACCTTCAGCTTTCGAAATAAACTGGAGTTGTTAGTGTCAGTCCCTCCGATCATTTAGAGATCGACTAAAATCAATACCAGTCATTAATTACACCAGGTGACACACTGACGACTTGTTTTAATTTAAAATGTTTTGCTGTATTTCATCGCAGGTTTGACTGAGCACGAGATCCTCTCCCAGGCCTTCGTCTTCATCTTCGGTGGCTATGAGACCACCAGTGTCACGCTCTCTTTCATCTTCTACAATCTGGCCATGAACCCTGATGCGATGCAGAAGCTGCAAAAAGAAATCGATGGCAGCCTGCAGAAAGATGTACAGTAACTCTGCATGACATTTGTGAGCTAATAGCTGACGCCATCCTTATCTTTTAAAACATTTTCTATTTGCCTCCTGCTTTGATATTTGCCTCTAGGCTTCCATTTCCTACGAGGATCTGAACGGTCTTCAGTACCTGGACCAGGTCATTAATGAGTCAATGCGTTTGCTTCCCACTGCGCCTCGGCTTGAGAGGACATGCAAAAAAACTGTGGAGATCAACGGCATCACCATCCCTGAAGGAACTCTGGTTGGGATTCCTTCACACTTGCTGAACAAAGACCCTCGCTATTGGAGGTCACCTGAGCTTTTCAGGCCAGAGAGGTAGATGTTAGAAGTTTTCATTCTTTACGTCAATGAATCCAAGAGAGAGAAGCTTGTGTTCATCCACAATAAAGTGCAGCTACTGAAACTTGGTACATCGTTCTTCAAGCATGATAATCATTGAAAGCTATGGGGAATATTGGACATCGTAAAGCTCTACTGAACTGAGCAATAGTGCAGTTTGTTGCTTTCTTAGTTGTGAAAGAATTAAAGAGCTAAATACATATTTAAAAGTTGCATCTTCAGTTGTTATCATTTTTTGGCTTATGCACCACCCATAGCGTGATGCTGCCACCACCGTGCCGTACTGTAGGAGTGGTATTAGGAGGTTACATCATATCAAAGGCCTGATTGATTGAGATGGTTGTCCTTTCAGCAGGACTTCTGAAGCCCCATAAGAGTGACTGTTGGGTTATTGGACTTCTCCATGATGTAGGTCCTTCTTGCTCAGATGGCCAACTCAAGGAACGTCCTAATGGTTCCAAACATTTTCCATGTTATTGATTACTGAGGCCACACTCAAAGATTTAGAAAAGTGTTTTATATCCTCTCCCTGACCTATGTCTTACCACAGTTTTATCAGAGAGTTAAAACTCAGGCTTCAGGACTCAGTTCTTGTCCCAGGGTTTAGATCTAAAGATAAACCTGATTGCAGTTCGGAGTCACAGCAAAGAGTTTGAATTTCACTTTGTCATCATCGGTTATTGACAGTGAAAGGAAACCATTTGTCATCACTCAGGTTTGTGTGCTTTTAATAACCGTGATTTTTTTTGGAGACAAGGTTGTTGTCCAAGTGTGCGTAACTTTACCCTCCATGTGCTGACTGTGATTTTAACTGTTAACCTGATCTGTGTGTGCAGGTTTGACAAAGACAGCGGGGAGGAGGTGAACCAATACGCACACATGCCGTTTGGTCTGGGCCCTCGTAACTGTGTTGGGATGCGCTACGCTATCCTCGTCATGAAGATGATTATTGTCCGTGTCCTTCAGAAGTACACTTTGGAAACCTGCAAGGAAACCATAGTAGGTGTAACACTGCACTGCATTCAGACTGTCATGCTGCTCTGCTGTCACACCTCATT